GCCGATTCTCTCTGTGTATATGGAGGTGCCGAATAGCACTAATAGTTTAATATACCGGTTCCACATTATTTAATACTTCAAAAATGCTAAGGTTTCCTTCATAAATGTAGCGCTGCCCCTGTCACAGTTTTCTCGCGTCGTTCTCAGGCGAGCATACCTCGTCCGTCGCACTGTTTAATTCGCTTTCATCTCTGGATTCAACGCAATTCAATATCATTAGTGACTCTGAATTAGTTCATTTAAATGCCGATGCTGCTTGTGTTATATCCGGAAAAGCTATATTTGTTATATAATAATGCTGAGTCGTGGACGTTTTTATAATTCAGCTAATTCGTCATTACTATTCTGAATCAGCAGGCTTAGGCTAGTCAGCAAACACACCAGACGACGGCGTTTTGTATCTGGATCTCGTCAATGGTGCGCCTCCTGGTGGATCCCTGCCTTGTTCCGTCCCCCTAAATTCCGGATGACAGAAACTAATGCCCCTTCGCTATGGGTGACAACGGCGGACAGGTGTAAATGACACTTGACTGTGATGTAATCCGGATCATTTCCCACTGCCATGCCAGTTACGAACCCTACACTATCATGGCCAACTATCATTCATGCAGTCCGCGGCTGTCGCCCATGGCGAATTGGCACTAGCTGTCAGCATCCAGAAGTTATGGGGGCGATACCCGTCAGGGTTTGGTTGCGAGGCACAGCAATGGCGAGACCCAGAATATCAGAACGCCTGGTCTGTTGCTTTTTCAGCCTAGCCTAAGCCTCCATGAGAAGCAATGATGATTTAGCTAAATTCCAGATTTGCCTGATCCGGCCGTGTCGAGTGCATCATTGGAAATGGCAAAACAAGTTTCATTCGGTGAATACTCTATAGTACTCGGTCATCACGCAAGCGCATTTACGTGCATTTTGTTCAACGTAACTTTCATACTTGGTGCACTGAGTTCGTGTCATTTGAGAGATTTGGTACATCATTTGCAAAACTGCTTGTGAATAGTGTCAAAGTAACATTGCGCCAAATAGAGCCGATTATCCAGTTAACTATGTCAATAGATAGCTACACTCTAAAACGCGTCGCCCTATTGATTCCGCACCGCAGGTAACTGAACAGCAGACTAGTATAATGTATCCCCGGAGTAAAACACTGGCACTTCAAAAGATCAGCTTCGTCTCCTACCAATCTGCTACGGACACTATAAATCCAGTGTGCGATAAGCAAACTGATGATAAAAAGGGGAAGAGGCAAAGAGTAAAGAAGCCGATACTGATGTCCAGTGACTAAGGTGTCGCATCTTTATGATATTTCCCTTACCTACATGCTTTTATTCCAGTCTCCAGGTACGCTACGAAAACGATGTGGTTTTTACATAGTTTGATTTATAGACTGCTCGGAGTAGTTGACTGGATTGTAGCATTGAATAAGTACTCAAGCTGCTGGCCACTCATGACTGAAATAAGCCTGTCTGGTTTGATAGTATATACCTACTCACTCGTAGGTCATTATCGCTTATCTCTCGCATTTCGTGACTTGGCTGTTCAACTGGTCGCTTTCCACAGTTTTATCAACTGGCGACTGGAAATGCTGAGTCGTGAAGCCAATGCAGAATGGCATTGAGTAAAGCAAATTAGACAACCACCGGAATATTTTTTGAACACTATGTTGATAAAACAAATTTATAGATCGCAAATATGGGTCTTCTACTCTTTCGCAAGTCGGAAATGCTCTTAAGGCTTGCATGGCAAGGCTCCTTGTGAGGTCGCCCGTGCGTCACCAATCTGCTGGTGACGAGGCACGAATGTTTGCAAAAGCTGTACAAGAGAAGCTAGTCGACCTCGTTTGAATTGTATTCAGTAATGCATTTCATAAGGTTAATGACGAGGCACTTCTCTACAGACTGAGCAAATGTGGAGTTGGAGACTCGGTGCAACAATATATCAGGAATTTCTTAGTTGCTACAAAATGGATAGCCCAAGTCGAGAACCATATGATCGACTGGTAACCCTCGACCCGTGGCATGCCCCATATAAACGTTATACCTCCGCTGTACCGTTCACTTTGTGCGTTGTTTGCAGATGCGTTAAATGTGGGGGAGTAACCAGCGCACCCTTTGACTTTGAGTTACTTCTGCGGGAAATTGACCGCCTCTTCATCTGGTCTGCAGATGTCAGCTGTCAACTAAACCCGGTGAATTCACTGTTCATGAAATTGGGTACGGGTGAACTCGCTCCAACCTACTATGCGTCCTGTCAATCGTTGCATCCCAGAGCTTAAATGAAAGACCTCGGTGTCATCTTGTGGTGCAAACTAAAGTCCGTTGGCGACACAAATATGCTTTACCAAAAATGGTTTCGTATGTGTTGTGGGCTCAAGTGCAGTTTCAGCGTTTGGTGCCAACACATTACCACTCGACTCTTAGTCTCAAGTATATGTTTACTGCTAGAATGTGGTTTACCCGCACACTGTACTATCATCCGGGATCATGTACAAATGATTGTGCGAGCACCGCTTGTTACAACTACTTTACGCGGTGTGCCGTACGAAGACAGTTGCTACCGGCTACGCCTTACACCCTGTCTAATCTTTGATTTTTAGTTGACTTCCTCCTGACACACCAACTATTACATCTTGGTGATTACCCAATTTTGAACCCGCTGCTCTAATGTGCGAGCACCAAGCTTCACAAAAGGACACTGGTACACGCTTATAGTACCAGAATTGAAACGGGTCCCTCACCAACTCTGCTCCGAAAGGAGAGTGGTCAACAAATGGACAAGGTGCCGCCGCAACTAATCGAAGTAAATTCAAGGTCAGAATTTTAAATAACCGCTACCACTCTATCGATATGAAATATCAAGCACAATCGCGGACGCAGCTTGTAGTATTCCTGAGTGGTTATAGATGCAGCTACACAGCTACTTCTTGCTATTTCTATCCATCAATCAATAATCAGCACAAGGTGCGGTAAGGATAGAATTTAGTGGTTTATGTGATATGGTTGTATAATATAATCGTCAAGATAGGTGCATACAATCCTGCAATGAGTTGTTTAATACGTTATGCCGATAACTGCATCACGTTGACACTATAGTCACATTGTACGAAGACACGTTCGTATCCACAACGTCCCTTCATACAAGACGAATATTGAGCGAGAATCACTTTCTGAAGTCGATGCTTAAAACAGTGAGTAACAATCATAGGACATAGTTCATTGTTCCGAGGCTGGGTACAACGTCACACAGAGTTCGGATCCCAAACTGTCGCACATTTTAGGTCACTGTATTAGTACACGATGCATTTTCTTCCCCGCTGGAGCGGTCATTATGGAGTTGAAACGACTCCTTTGCGTTAGTACAGAATCAGCAGGTTCCGGTTTCAGTTATAACACAGCAATGGGAATGTGATTTCAAGCGTTATGGCAAAACCGGGTTGTGAGCAATTAACAGCCCGTGAAAATTGTAGTGGTAGGGCGATAATTACTCAGATTTTATTAATGTCATATCTTACGTTTCGGGCATTTGTTCCGTCAAAATCCGGCTGGTTTCTCCAAGCGAAATCAACATTTATCTCAACACGAATGATAAAGCCACAGCGTCGAACTTATCGCACATGTTCATCCTTTGATCCCCTTCTTGAAAATAGGTTCGACTATGTATCATTTTATCGACAATGCCGTTCAGAACTACACTATAGCAGAGAAAAATATAGGATGTACATTAATCCACGCTCTCACATTATCATATCACCTGAACTAAAATTTCACTGAGTCAAGAGAGGAAACTTTTAGCTCGCCGGAGTAAGTTCTTCACCCGGGCCTCGATAGTTGATTTTACGGCTTGCCACCGCTTGTATATTAATGCACTGGGCGTATTGCTCACCTGTCTTATACCATGAGCTGTTCAGCGGATAATCCAATATGATCTACAGGTCACTGAAGCATGTTACCCAATGGAGCGGAATTTAAATGTTGGGGTTCAAGGAGGACATCCCGCAAAGTCATGTTTATTCCTGAGAATATCTGGCATCCAGATCACTCACTGATGCCAGTCACACCTCCATAATTTGTTTTCGTAATACATCCTGACACCTTCTACCATGCAAATGTAAAAAGCCGCTCATGCTCGCATATGAACTTACAGTTCGTCAGTTGTTCCCTGTTTTCACGTTTCGTCAGGGATCAGAATTAAGTCAATCAAGAACTCAGTACCAAAATGAAGTGATTTTATCCCGTTTATCAATTGCTGAGGCACCACCAATTTGAGGGGCCAACAGTTTAAGGTAGCCACGCAATATATTCGGCTAGAATGTCGATGGAGCTTTTACCCTCTTCGTGTGTGTCAGTCGCGGTACGTACTCCAAAATTAGGTTACTTCCGCCCCTGTGTTTAAAAACCGATTTGACATTGACCTAACGCATCTACACTACGAGATAAAGCTTGTACGTCTCGAAAGACGATATAATGCGCCAAAGTTGTAAAACCAGAATTAATCTGCGCATCTGAGGTTGGCACTTACTCTGTTTCTCTGTATTATAAAGTGTTGAGTCCACAAAAGCGCTCTTCACTTTTCAGCTTTTTATAGTCCCCAAATTGTGGTGCACTTTTTGACCATCCTACAGGACTTGCTAAGCATCCGTTAATTTGCCTGTACTATACCATGGTCAGTCAAATGCAAATTTCCGTCGAAGTATCCTTCTCATATCCTAGGGAAATTTTCGACGACCTATTGCATCTGAGAAATCGGTGCCGCATGAAAATTCCCCGTAATTATATTATGTCATGGAATGTGAATAAGATTCAGAAGCTTCAGCAAATTTTACCAGACATCCAGCTGATAATGACCACAACGCAACTAGAGAAATTCGTATTACCCAGTCAAACAAATGAAATAAAAAAGCATATCATTCAAGCGTGCTCTAAATCGGAATATAAGGAAATGTTTTGGTGAAAATGAACTCATTCCATTTAACTAACAAGCAAGTAAATTGTCTAGCATGCTCATCCCAAAACTTGTGTCCGCTTTTGTAATCGTGTAAACTTCACCAGCACGTTTATTTTTACGTGTTTTGATGAAATTAAATGGAGAAAAGAAAAGTTATCTTTCATGCTTCTGTGCACACCATGTGCTTCCACGTTTAACATGTGTAAAATGAGCAGTAAACTGTCTATGTTTCTAAACCCGATTCCGTTTTCTGTTGGAGGTTTTCCGACAAATCCAGCCTTGTTGAGCAACGACTGAAGTGTAAACTCCTGAAAAATATCCACAAGCATGGCTATCTCCAAAACTTGCAGCACCAGCAATAAACCATGCGTATTTTTCGGCAACTGACAGCATAAGCCACTGCCGCTGTCACGGGTGCACGATTCCTGAAATAAGTAAAAGGTAATCAATGTAGACTGCAATTATTTGCGTAATGTTTATGGTGTCTGTTTATTTTCAGTATGTCTGAAATCGTTTGACCATTGTCCGTCTAGTGCAGGCAGTTCTGTCATAATAAATTCATGAATTTGGAGATCAACTCCTTTTACTTATGACTGGCCACAATCGAAACTTCTAACATGTCCAGTAATGCTAATGCGTTTAAACGCCTCAGATTACGCCAGTATATTTGAACATCGGTTTATTGCAATTCAGAGTAAATTGAAGTCAGGTTATTCATCGAGCTCGCTTGTGGGATCGCACCACAAGGAGAAGTATAGCCCGAGCACACAAATGCCCTTTTGAAAATAGTTCGCGCAATTAATTTTGAGCATCAGTAATGCATATATGGAATTTGGGGCTATCTACTTGTGCCTTATATTTTCCCCTTAACTATACCAGTGAATTTCAAGAACTGAGTCCAAAAGGAAAAATGTGTCAATGTTATAACGTGTTTTCCACACAAAAACCAGCTTTCTTAATTACACAACATTACAACAGGGAATACGAAAACTATGGCATATCTTCCGAAAGCGCCATTTCCTATTGCGCATTCACAGAGTTTCACTGCGCGTTACCACTTGGCCATACGAGTTTACAGATTATGCTCGCAACACAGGTTGAGAATCGACAGATATTTTTAGTCACTCGGAGGTTTGAACAGCGAACCTTTACATATAGGTTCAACAGGGTGTGCGAAACTGTCTTTCGCTTTTCGTACTTTGAAGCTAAATGGCGTCCGTCTTTATTTGTTGCAGTTAATTAGGAGCAACATATTTTATCACAATCCGGTTCACATTTTGGCCACCTGTCTCCCAGTGCTTTTGTAAACCTGTGGACAATTTCCTATCGTTCAGCTTATTTGCGATTGCAGCTATGGTTGTATAATTAACGTTAAAAACTTATTCTGAAATTGCTGTCATAATTGCTGCAATAACCTTTTAAATGACAGACGAATAACAAATATTTCGCAAGTACAATATGTTAACATACTAAGCAACACTTGGATGCTTTTCTTAATATATACATTGATATAACTTGCGACAAAATATACACGTCAACCTAAACTTTCACCGTTTGCTTACCTTTCCTTTTGAAGCTGCGCAAATAATCATCTGTTCGCGGAGATCTTTGTAATGTTTCTTGCATGCCTGGGGCATCAACACAGTCAGATTGACCTGGCGCAATTTGTCCGGGGTCCACTCATCGGCATTCGTCCGATGTATGTGATGTGTAGAGCTTGGGTACCCTGCGCGGCTCAATAAGCTCTGTACACTATTGACGTGACCGGTGTCCCATCCAATAGCGTGGCATTCAGCACCGGTTTCCAAAAGTTTGAGTTCATTTGGTAGGCAGACGTAATTAATCTCTGGATCTGCGATAGATCGAGGTGCTGCCATTTGAGTCTAAGCAATCCAACATTTACAAACCTGCATTAATCAAAAAACTAGGCAAAATACGCTAAATAACAATGAGAAACAACTCCCTGCTAACAAATCCCAGGTACTCGCTCGCAGCTCCGCCTCTGTCACACATGACGAAGTGGCACTAAATACTGGCATCCGGTATTCATGGTGTGGAACGCAGCAGGGGTTCGCGTGATGGCGCACCACTGATGAGACCCAGAATGTTGAAACACTGGTGTCTAATGTCTTTCCAGACTTTCCATAACCAGCTGACTGAGAGGGACTATGTTGATTTATCTGAATTATACCAACATCCCACTACACATTAGTAATATAAAAATCTGTCCCTTTGGACGCTAAGTACTTGTGCCGTGCCAAATCACCCTGCGAAAAGTCCTATCTCGTGGAGGTAGCTGCTGTGCCCTGCACAGTTCATAATCGATATGACGGTGGACGATGAAACAGGCTATATTATAGTCAACTGTCAATCATGCAGGTCCGCAACTGTGACCCAAGGGGAAGGGGCACTAGTTGCTGGCATCCATAATTCATGGGGGCGGAACCCCGTAAATGTCCGCTAAAAGGCAAACCACTGACGAGACCCTGAAGATCGAAACGCCGATGTCTGGTGTTTCTCCAGACTGGCCAAATCCTGCCGACTGAGAGTGATTATGACGGATTATCTGCTTTATAACAAATTCCTTACTACTCATTATAAAACACGACAGGAAGCCTATCGAAAGGACCTACGTGTTTGTGTATTTGGGTTGTGCCGGAGCAGCAGGCAATATGTGTACAAACGTGAAGGATGAAACAGAAAAATGCAGTCTGAGTTTTGCTCTCTTCTTGTCGCGATTGCCCATCGAAAACGCTAAGCGATTCCAAGCCTTCCGAGGACGCCGGTTCAAGCGTGCGTGCGTACCAAGCTACCAAACCAGTAGCCTGAGTGTACGCGCTACTGTTTGTTGCTTTGTGGCAGCAAAGTGTCGGTACTGCGTACCGGCGTGTTGGGGATGTCTCACTGTTGATGCCATGCATTAATCAACGTTAAAGCAAGCACTGTCGCACGGGAAGTGCGACACATTGCATACAAGAATGAGAAGTTACAATTTCGGGCCCGTACTTGGTAGCCTAACAACAATAGATACATTAACATGTAGATATCATATATTAGCTGCAGTCAGCCTCGGCAAATTTTGCAAAAGCAAACAGTTACACCTTTCTCGGTTCAGGTTGAAAATAAGGTCCCAGTGAAATATCAACGTTATGCTTCGAAGCCAGATCCAAGCAACAATCAAGATCATGTTTGATGTAGGTTAATCCAAGTAGACAAATGTTTTTGAGGTATAAGCCTCAGTACCCACTGTGCACAGCTTTGCCATTTAAAGATTCTCCGCAATGAGCGAATTTACCGACAAATGAGCCGGGCTCAGTAAAACATCCAATAATCATCGCAGCAAATATGCTCCGTCAATAAAGTGTGCACGCATGTGATAGGGGACATCTCGTTAGACAGATCTAGGAAATCGCGATAACCATCCCTGCAATAAATAAAAGCGCTGTTAACCAAATTATTGCAATATACATGAGTCTTCAAAAACTTAGTGAAGCCCCTAACTGACTTAGCGAAAGTGTGTAAGAGAGGCATTTATCCAACTTTAGGATAGTGTGTCCATGACGATTTGCATATATGCAGAAAGGGCTCAATGTGTGTCTCATTTCACCATATTTTTCACAATGCAAACCAATTTCGCCTTACGCTGACAAGGGCGCAGTTACTGCTTTATGAATGGGTTGAATCTATCAATGCATCTCCGTCATCCTTTAATTTGATAAACGGAAATCTAACACCCATAATGAGAGAAGTAGTAACAGTTTTCCTGTCGATTCAGAGGGCAAGTGACTCCATTTCGATGATAGATATGCATTGTAAATAATAAGTTATTGTCACATCACCTATGTTTAGTTTAAATGAATCAGATACGCGAAAACAGGGTACATGCTTAAAAATAATGACGGCTGCCCTGCTGCTGTATTTGCGATAATGGTTCCAGCCATGAAAATGTAATGCCAGTGGTTCTATCCAAAAAACCTAGCTTGCTTTAACAAACGTTTAACGACCACAGCTTTTAGAACTGACTTATGTTGGCATGAAGCACGCCAGACATTGTAACTTAAAGTGAAAAGTCACCAAAAAGGTATCTTCCGTGTAAACACATTTTAGTAAACATTTAAACCAACATACACAGCAAATATTTATGAGTACAAATGTAACTAGAACAGTCGGCAATGGTGTCTTTTGAATTACACATCATGCAAAGACGTCGACTACGCCAACGTTGTCAACCCAACCTCATCTCATGGTGCATTCAAATCATGTTGAGACTTACAATCTGCAACTGGCTCTTTCATGTACAGCAATGCGAAGTCGGCACCGTTGTTCTCACTACCCTGTTGAAAAGCCAGGTGCAAGATTACACTTTGTATCACGTATACTTGAAAATACTCTTCTCCCGCTTTGATGTCAAGGTCACATACATATGCATGTATTGGGTCATTATCCAATTCTGCGTCCTCTTTCGGTTCCATAAGCGAGTTCTTATCCATCCATTCGGTGACGCAATGCGCAGCGGGGACAGTCAACTGAGGACCAATTAGCGTTCCACCGCACAACATTTCTTGGCTCTCTACTGTCCATGGCATAGACAAACGAACATGTAAATGGGGGTAATCAAGCCTAAGAACGCTATAGATCAGACCATTATAAAGCCAATGAACGGTGATTGGACTGGATAAAAGGTTTACAAAATGCATACTACTAAAATAAAACTAGCCAAGTCTTACAGTGTCTGTGTGCTGAACACAAATATGAGTCCAAGTTCAAGATCGGCTCTGGTTTATTTGTACTCCGCAATAACTGTTTACATTGCTAAATATGCATAACGGTGGTTTGCATGTAATACCGTTAATACATTTAAACGAAAATTAGGTCCTAGAGTACTTCATTGGCTTGCTTGCTTGTTTGTAAGCGCATTTCTGGCGAGTGTCCAGCGGTACTCAGCCAATTGCCCTGGTATCTTTGATTTATTACCGAGATTTCTTGGTGCAAACTTTCGTTATGTTCATCTCTAACCATAAAGCATTTTTAAGGTAGAAATACAAATCAAACTGGCAAAAGTTACCCTTATCCACGTATGGTGTCAATGTTCTGCTACTAATTCAGCTTGTCTTTTTATACATCTTTATAGCTTTGTGCTCACCCCTTCCTAAAATATTAGCAGGCAAGAAGAATTTCAAGGTTTTTCACAACACCCTGCAGCGAATTGTTGAAACCGCAGTGATATATATATATATATATATATATATATATATATATATATATATATATATATATATATATATATATATATATATATATATATATATATATATATATATATATACGTATATGTATGCAGTCATATATATATAACACTTGTCTAATAAACAATTGGCAGAGTGCCATAATACTTGAGTAAAATTAACAAAAAGGAGGAAGTGTGATTCAGTTGAATGGATGGAAAGTTCCGGCTATAGGGTCACTGACCACTCACCTCTGTAATTGGCGGCGAGTATCTAACGGATGGCGGAAGAACAACCTCGCTGGCCACAAGCTTCTCTGTGGACTGTTTCAAAAAAAGAAGGCGAATGAGCCATTTGGTTCTCAGCGATTTTCGTGAATTACACCACTGCCTTGCAGGTCAGGTCTTTAGACCAAAGGCTCCGGGTAGGGTCCCTTATTTCAACACCCTTCCTCAGTCTGAGCAACCGGGAAGCTCAATGCTTACCCTGCATAGGTCATGTTGCATTTCTTTGATTTGCTTTCGTGTGAATTTTATGACGCTGAAATCAGTACGCTGGTGATATCTAGTCCATTAGCTTCACGAAGTTCTTCACAAATCCCGGTGTGTTGTGTGGCGGTGATAGTATGATTTTATGAGCTCCTACCAAAGCTGGGTGTTGGACCTTTTCCAATCCAATGGTTAAAAGATCTATGCGTGTCTATTCTGTTAAAACTATTGCAAATGCAATGCTCGCATATCCAACTCGCACCAAAAATAGCAGCATTTTGTGTATCCTAGATACAACTCCGTTAAGTCACCACAGAGATGCAAGCCTTACTTGCTATACACAATAGAATTCAACAACTGCCTTAGAATTACAACTTCAGCTGCTGGATCGAGGAAACTTCGCAGGAAACCACATTGCACCACAGCTGCGTTCGATTGTTAAATCCCAGAACCGACAGAATTACGGAAACAAGAAATGTAGAATACCAAATTTCCGATGAACTTATAAGTCACTAGAAGTTTCTTAAAAATTTTGTAACCGAATTATTATTGAAAACAACAAAAACCGATTTACGCACGTGTATTGGCGGGGCCTGCAAATTCTGCAATGGTGCCGTCGTCGTAGATTGCGATACTCACTGCAGCTGCTATGTACTTCAACTTTATCATATCCTTTGTTTTAGTGAACCAATTATATTGTTACCCATGTTGTCATATAATGCTGATGTTTTGAGTTATCGAAACAACATAAGTCGTCAAGTTCGCGGGTTGTATGAATTTGCAGTTTGGTTGATGTGTTTAAGATCAACCGGTGAATGCGACACCGATGCTTCACTCTTGTCATTATTCTACATATGCAACGTAACAATATACTGTGCTAAGCCGTTTTGTAACAATATTTTCTGCATTGGAAATGCTTTGCTACTAAATGTACTGCCCAACCAGAATGAGGAAATACTTGTGTAAATACCAAAGTATTCCCCCGACTCTAACCTTAATTAATGATGCATAATCATCTTCATTATCACAAAGCGCTTTGAATTCTGAGTTTTCAATGGCGCATTTAACAAACCTACCCTCCTCCTTACTGCAGTGCTTACTCTCCATCAGACCTAGCCCGCATTCCGCATTATTTTAACCGCCAATCAATCACTCCGGAATCAATAAGTAAAGGGGCTCTTTTGCGTACGGCAACAAGATTGTAAATAACTTCAGAAGAATGTTCAAGGAAAGTTTAGGATATAATGTAAAAGCATCGTGATTGCTGGCAATAGAACTTCATCGCTGTCTCATAAACAGAGCGCATATTTCCGTAACTTTGTACAGAAATACACGCTAAGGTAGCCGGAAAGTTGACCATTTTATTAATATTTTGCGGTGAAGAGAATTTCTCAATTGACTTATAGTGATGTTGCAAACCTTTGATTGTATTCTCACATGTAAGTTGAACTCATTAATCACTGGCGACGGCCACATTAGATACAGCCGCCTAAGAGAATTAGAACATCGTAGTAAAGGTGTTATCAACAAACCTAACGATAGTTGTGGTAAATCCGTTTCAAGGCCCTCGCCGTAGTCAATAATATAATTAAGCTGCCGTCAATTGTATATAAACAAATCCAGCTGTGCGATTTCATAACTCTCCACGTTGGTACGTGTATACAGCTCTGAACACAGCGCCGTTCGTGCTACAAATGTTGCAGAGCACCTTGCTTTGGTGTTATATCCAATTTAGAAAGATCCATAGCGTTCCCACCGGAAACGACAATAATGGTGACACAAGGTACATTAGTGTTACGGGCTCATCCAATTAAGGAAAATTCCCCACCGGATCTATGCGCATATATTTATTTCCGACTGGAATAGCTAGCTGATTTCTAGTTACAAGCGCGCTACCCTTGGTGACTTCAAACAATATATAGTGAATATTCACCTAGAGTTATTGACTAAGGTGAGCTATGTCACGCTGATAAAGAGTATGTCGAAGACTGTTAAGCAATGGAATCGTTCATCAGATAAGAGTAGGAACGCAACTTAAAAGTATTGCAAGTGATTTTGGGGTTTCACGTATGAAGACTTGTCAGCCCTAAACAAACATCTCACGGACTACAGCAGCTTCTGTTTTAATCTGTGTCACCACTGAGACAACCTATTTAGAAATAACTGATTTCTACTTCGTTGCTTAAGCAGTCGTGGAGAAGAAAATTGCTTATAAACATAAACTCTTCTTTGTACTGCTGTCAATGGTTCCTTTTCATAGGTGCTATTTTGTAATACATTCCGCCATTTTTGTGTGAAGTAGTAGACATGCGTCAACATGAGCGCATAAAGCTTGTCATTATTTGAATTGACTTTTTAAAAATAAGTAAAAGAGTGGACAGAAAGGTAAACTCAGGGGCACCAAACCTGTGACAAGTTTCTCAACATCTGTAGCCATTTAGTCGCGTGACTAGAATATGACGACTAAGTTATTACCTAAACCAAACCTACCAAAGCAAAACCTAGCGATTATCGTATTTACGAATCAATCAATCGTGCTACTTCACTAGAAATATGACATCCTGGGGACATATCTCTGCCAAAGAAGAGTTTTCCAAATTAAGCATTGTTTTATGCGCAAGATTACGGCCCATTATATTTGGCGAATTCACGGAGTATTACGATATGTTGGCATTAAAACCATGTGGCCATCTGTTCAACATATGGATTTCTGGCGGCTGGCTTCCAATTTATCAGCTATTGAACTGGAAAAATATCTGGCTTAATCAACGAAATATCCGATACAATGAAAGCACAGCAACACCCGGTGCTCTCAACGGTGATGGCGTCGACCATTTCTGGAGCACTGATGGGCTATCTAGACAGATCTAAAAGCTTAGCACAGGAGCAGCCCGGATTCCTACGGCGTCCGCCATACGAAACCAATCTACTGATTGAGAGTGGCCGTTGCACCGAAACTGCCATCAGCGGGACCAAACATGATGTCATGTATCCAAGTACCCATACAGACTACTGCTTAGATGACCGAATCCTTCCATAAAATATAAAACCTAAGGCATTAGATGACCTGCTTTTGGATGGATAAAATATATTCTCCTTCAGCGTGCCTCCAGAATTGGGTTCGGAACTCATTTTCTGATCTTATCGACGTAGACTCTGGTGTTCCACAAGGGTCAGTGTTGGGGCCCTCTTTACTCCGGTATTCATCAGGGTCTTAGTGCTTAAAAGCATTGGGAATTTCCTGCATTTTGCGGATGAGATCAAGATATGGCGGGCGATCGGTAGTCAGGAATATCTCAATATGCTGCAACGTGACCAAGAACGTGCTCTTAGTTGGTCAAAAACAAATGTACTACCGTGTAACGCCGGCAAGTGCAAAACTGTACGTGTACGCCAACAGCCCTCTTACGCATAAAAACGTGAAGCCGACTTGTTGAAGACCGCCTCACATAAGCACGACCATGGGGTGGAGATGCAAAACGATCTCGACTGTTCGGCGCAGTCCTCGCAGGCATCCAACACCTCGAACAAACATGTTGGTCTCATACGAAAATGTTTGGGCGGTTCGGGCCCACCATGTTCCACCAATACTCAAATCTAATGTGAGGCCGCATGTTGAGTATGCGATTCGAGTATGGCAATCTTGATTACAACGCAGCTGGTTGAACTGGAGACCGCACAGAGAAGGGCAACTAAAAACTTGTAGGGATTGTTCCACTTGACATACCAAAACGAACAAAATCCCTAGGGTTGTGCAGCGGAAATTATCGCCGTCTAAGATGCGACCTCATTCTTGCGTACCATATCATAGAAACACCGGTCATACATGTTGCCACATCCCTAAACTTAGCCGCAACACCGAACTGAGTGGTC